GATTGCAGCTACCCGCCGCTGCTTAGTTTTGCCTAGTGACATGATGCATGACATTGAGCATGTAGCTTATCTCAGAATCGAAAAGCCCAAAGGTCGCCGCCGAAGCAAAGGCCTCGTCCAACATGCATCGATTCACCATGTTGAGTTTATAAACTTCTTGGAATCTATATATGGTACCACTGATAAAACATGTAGGCTCTTCTATGGTTCGCCTTCTGCATTTCGTAAAAGATGGGATAAGATTTTAGTTGCCTTGCGAGTTTCTTCAGCCATTCGCTTGACTCCTGGTGGTTTGAGGGGTGGTGGAGCCATTTTTGCATTCAGAAATGGCACTGACATCTATAATCTGTTATGGAGGATGCGGTTGAAGCACCTCGGGACTCTTGAGTCCTATCTCCAAGAACTCATAGCAGATACTGTGATGGCAGACTTAGATGTTCCAGCCAGACAACGCATCCGTGCTGCTGCCATGTTTTTTTTCCTTTTTACCTGGCAGTCGTAACCCAACGCGCATCTCTTTTGCAAGAGCCTTAGGTCTCTCTCCCACCTTTTGGTCGTGTTCAGAGAGTTTTTGGACATGGAGTCCCTTGGAAGGAGTGCTCCAGAGTTTCTCTGTGGCCTACCCTAGAACTGGAAAGCTGCATTGGCATTGGTGACTTGACCTGTGCATCCAACCTTTTTCGTCCTTGCGTCGCTCCTTTGGTTGAAGTTGCTTGGGAACAGGCCAGCCTCCAGTGCTCAGACTTTTGCACTTAGACCAGTGGGTCGGTCGAGCAAAAGAATCTTTGCGCTTGCAGCAGGGAGTGAAGAGGTGAGTACATGTTCCCATGTACCACTGATGAAAATACTGCAGCTGTTGCACCCAAAAACCACTCCCACCCGGGAAAGCTGCATTGGCATTGGTGACTTGGCCTGTGCATCCAACCTTTTTCGTCCTTGCGTCGCTCCTTTGGTTGAAGTTGCTTGGGAACAGGCCAGCCTCCAGTGCTCAGACTTTTGCACTTAGACCAGTGGGTCGGTCGAGCAAAAGAATCTTTGCGCTTGCTGCAGGGAGTGAAGAGGTGAGTACATGTTCATTTTCGGACTCCCAACCTTTTGGCTCAAGGACTGAGGAAATGGTTCTTGAGCGCCTGCGTTTGGGGTGGAGGTTCTTCTCAGAAATATAAAGAAATAACAGGTCAATAGCCTCATACGGTGATACGGAAAGCATTCATTCATATTTTTGCTGTGCATTTGCTAGAGCCACATTTGCACTTCACTTTCATATTCCATAATCTTCTCACTGCCTGTCAGAACACACTTCGAGGTGCGTGTCCGTGCAGGTACTGAGAAGAAGTGAGGCAATCCGTGCATTCTTGAACAAGGACAGTGAGTGGTCGTTTGCACGTCTGCAGCCCTCCACTAGACTAACATCCATATAGAGTAGCAAGAGAGACCGCACTGTCTTCTTGAGCCTCTACCTAAAGACTTGAATCTGCAAGGTGCATACTTTTGACATTGGTGGGCGGGCTGCTACGCTTGCGCATGCCACATCCCCCACCTCCGTTGCCAAGCCGATTGCAGAGCCGCTCCCAATCGTCGGCGGCCCAGCCCGTTGTGGAGGCGATTTGGGTTCGGTGCTGGAGGCTTGCGCTAGGAACCAGCTCGGGCGTGCACCACTCGAGCGGTCCATCGGCAGTTGCTGCAGGTGGTCGTGGAGTATCTGAATAGTAGGCTGTTTGCAGTGTTCGCGGCTCCAGATATTCTACTCCGTTGCTTTCAGGCCCAGGAGCGTCTTGCGTGGTTGGAGTGGAATTTTCCAGGTAGTCGAAGTACATTGTTCTTCCGAGCTTGCGGCAGGTCTCTAAAAAAAACCCGGAACAGGTGCGCCATCACTGAGCATGCCGGAGAGATGTTTGAGATTGAGTCGCGCCCAACGAACGGTTCGATTTCAGTGCAGTCTTCAGAAGCAGGAGAGGACGTTGAAGCAGCCCCGAGCGCAGCTCCTCCAGCGTCTTCAAGGGTTGCAGTGCTGAAGACCCCGCCAAAGGCGCCTCCTCCACCGAGGGCACCACCGATTCAGATCACTGCAGCCCGCGCACCTTTGCCAGCAAAGGCCCGTTCGTTGATCACCTGGCCAGCAGCCATGCCAGTTAATTGACCATCGGCAAGCCACAATTGCAGTTGAGGTCAAAAGCGGGCGGAGGAACGCCAAAGAGCAATCCAGTTGCCGCACCAAACAGTAAACTCCTAGCTCACCAGGAAGTACAATCCAACGTTTGAGAGCGCAGCGGTGAGTGATCTGCCCAGTGTTCCGAGCCAAGAGACGCAAAAGTATTGGACTGCGATCAACGCAGAGGTCTTTGAAGGAGGCCAGCGGCCAGCGTGTTCGAACGCGTCACAAGGTGACGGTTGCTGACCTTCCGATTGTGCCCATTGACTATCACCAAGTCCTCTCTCGTTGTCGTTTGTCACGCTGAGTATACCAGGAGCAACGTCAGATCATATTGAATCCGGTCCCAGTTTTCGGATACGTTCGATGAGCGGCCAGCTGCACGGTCGATTAGGCAAATCAGCAGCCCTCGAAGGTCTTGCGTCGTCACCGCCACTTGGCTAAGGCCTCAAGCGCGTCTGTCATATGGTAGACGACAGTGATCGTGTGGTCACCGAGTTGCGAGATTCCCAGCTCCTGCGTCCATTGGGCAAAAGTATCACCGCCGAAACATGAGTCAGAAGAGTACATACCTCTTAGACAGAATCATCAAGTACGGACGCCAGCATGTCGCGCACGGTTATAATGGACTGATTCGCGCAGATCGCGTGGCAACAGGTACCAAGACACCAGGCGCACCAGCAGCGCCGCCGACTCCGACAGTGGAGGTGAGATCCACGCAGCAGTTCTTGAGGTTGAGCCCGAAAGGTATGAGGGTGTAGATGATGCAGACCTTGCTTTCAGTGCAGGAATGCCAGGAGGTGTTCGGAAGTTGCCATGGTAGGAAACGTTGCGCTTGTCCTTGACGATGCGTTCGTGGAGTGAAATCGATTTCGGAACATCATGACGGACCTCATCACTGAAAGGTCGTGGGAAACTTCTTGGAACATGCTTGTAATCAGTGAACACCCCGTGGTAGGAAAGAACTCAGCAGAAATTATCATAAATTAACGTTGAGCGCATCCGCCTCACCAGTGATAGGTTGGACCTTTGTAATCCGCATCATGTCTCCCAAGCAATCATGCAGCTAGAGAGTGCGTCAGGAGCAGATGCCTGAATATTCTTTTCCCCGATCCAAAGACATATAATGTGTCACACTACGAGGCTCCATTCCAAAGACACATTGACATGTTGGGATATGCCATGCAGTTTGCAGAAGGATGCATGAAGAACCATGGTAGGGTTGCCGCCAGAATGGTTGGAATTCGAATAGCGTCGCAATGTCAAAAGATCCTATTGCGACGGCGGAAGCGCAGTTAAACCCCTTTGCAATCCGTGGTGCGTAGCCACAAATGACCTGCGCTTGATCCAGTTTGTCAGACGACATGGTTGTGACAGTGACGGTTCTCATGAGCATGGATGTGGGTGGCCGATCCAAAAGCCCTGTAAAGGCCTTGAAACAAAGAGGTTCGTGGTCTAAGTTCAAATGCAACGTGGGATGACGATGCAGTCGCGCCCTTGTACCAGATCCGCAACTGGGTTCGTTCGGTCGGTGTTCAGATCAAAGTTGCAGAACTCTTGACATTGATTGGGTAAAGCACTTTGAGCTTGATCTGTACCGTGGGGACCACCAGGTCTGGGATCAAGACAACAATCTGTTCCTCTTCGACCAGACGGCGACCACACCCACATCGCTGATAGCTCTGAATGCTGCATTATGTATGGTTTGCCAGCGGCGAAGAACACGCTTCATGAATCACCTCTTGGATGAATGGCTTGCCAAGATCGTTGCAGGTAGACGATCTCACCTGGTGTGGGGACTAAGGATGTCATGAACAATTCTGGGCTAAGCTCCGGGAGTCCTACATCAAGGTAAAAGATCAGCGCAGGACGTGGGAGTTGGATATGAACCCATACGCAGATAGCATTGTTGACTGTGAGTTGACCGGTTTTGAGAGGGCTAGGTTTTGAAACGTTCCTACACCCCACATTCCGGAAGCTTCTGCCGCCGAAGAAAATCTTTCACGGGCAGGTGAGCCGTTCAGCAGAAAGCAAGTGGATTTACGAAAGCCGCACGATCAATTGAATGGTCGATAACTTTGAACCAACTGAATCTTGACTATATGCTTTCCTCCAGCAAGTAGGCTAGGTTGGAAATTGTGTGTACATAGCCTTTTGTACATACCTGGAATCGCTACCAGGTCTGGCATGAAATTTGTTTGAGGGGGGTTGAAGATTCACACACACAAAGTGTACCCTCAGTGAGACCTCGTTCATGTCATGACTACGTTCTGCCAATTTTGTATTGTTCATTTTCGGACTTCCGACCTTTTGGCTCGAGGACTGAAGAAAAGGGTTCTTGACCGCCTGCGTGTGGGGTGGAGGTTGTCGCCAGAAATCATCCAAAAAACATATATATATATACATACATATACAACTATATATATATATAGATACATATAATATACATATGTATACTCGTGTCTGTGTGTCTGTATGGTGTTTTGGCCCGCAAATCACCGCGCCTCTCTTCTTGGGTATGTGTGGTTTGACGCACTTTCGAGCTCCGTTTTGGGAGTGCTGTAGGGCATCATCGGGACATAAATTTGGGATGTCTCTTGTGCCGCTTTGCACAAGTGCCTGTGTAGTACTTCAATTTTTGAGGCACGGCAGACGGGCAGCCCACCGGAACCTTTGGGCATAGGCATAGTGCTGGTAACAGTGAGTTCACGATGGTTCAGGTGGTTCTGCTGGAGTGGCCGCACGGAAAATGGACATGTCGATTTATCCCATTTCAACTCCTCTTCCTGTTTCCTCCCTCATCGATTTCCTTCAACCCCCGGCGCCGAAACACGCGGGTACGTCTCAGGAGAGCGGCAACTTTGCTTACCTCATCTTGAAGAAGGTGAACATTGAGGGGCTCATGGCCAGAATGGAAGGCTTTGCGGAGAACTTCGCGGAGTCTTTGGGCAGACGGTGGTGGACTTGGGGTCAGGGAGGTGGGTGTGAATGGACTCGAAATAGAATCAGAACGAATGGAACACCACAGAATACAGTTGTCAGACGAGTTTGGCCCGGCCTACACATAGGATTGCGCGATATTCTAAAATTGCGTCGTCCGTTTCTATTATATTGTGTTTTGATGTTTTGAGCATTATTGAGCCGTTTTTGGCGGAGGGCTTTGGGCATGCCAAGCCTGCGTGAAAAAACAGGGCAAAGATGGAAACCATGGTTGTGAAAAAACACCTTCCAAACGCATGTGTGGGTTGCTCTGTTGGTTTTGGGGGAGGGCTAGCCATGAAACGACTGGATTTTAGAGTTGCTATCCCCAATGGTTCCATCTGCTTTTCAGAAGCTTCCTCTACTGGAGCCTCATGAGGCGGATGGGGGTGGAAAGGGTAGACTCATGGCAGAACTTTGAAGACATTCTTCACTTTGAGGTCTTCGACATGCCTTTTGTTCGCTGATGGTGTGCTTCGGGATGGGGAGGCGATGATGGTGTGCTTCTGGACGTCAGGTACTATCCGCACTTCTTGGTCTTGTTGGTTCTTGACTTCATGGAGGACGTCCGATGAAGACCCGGTGCGGCCAGTGTGGCAGAACTCTCCGGATTCCGAAAAAGAACGCTGGTTGGAGATTGAATGTCCCTCCATCCTAGCCAAGATCTATCCGGAAAACACCGGGTTGCTCATTGGAGTGGCAGGGAAAGCTTATTTCGGGTTCTCATGGCAAGACCAGGCTTTTGGTTCGAAGTTTGAAGGGAGGATGGTTGGGTCGGCTGCCCTGTCCATGTTGATGCCTCTCTGCAAACCTGGTGGTTTTTGCAGTCAGAGAAAAATCCTGGGCACGTTGGACGGTTGAAAAGGCTACAATCTGCCGGCCCGCTGCAAGCTTATGCCCCGAACAGTCAAGGACCTCCCTAATCAAGTTTGGTCTGGAACCACCACTGATATCAAGCTTCTGTGAAGGAGCTTTGGTTCTCCTGCATTCAACCCCAGTGCCACTGTGGCCGTGCTGTGGCACCGGCACGGAGGAGCTCTCCCAGGATCAGATTCGGCTTTCAAGAGGCAGGGGGAAGATCTTCTCGGGGATGTTCACCATGCCGAGCGACAACGGGAAGAGCTTGCACCTGGCCTGCAAGAAGCTTCGGCATCCTCCATGGTAAAGGAGTCAGAAATTGGGATGCCCCGTTGTGCTGTCATGAGCTTGGAAAGCCCAGCGGCCCGGTTTCTCTACCAATTTGGGCACTAAACTTGGACGGGGGCTGCTTCGGCACTCTTCGGCCAGTTCAGGCAAATGGTCTCACCTAAGTTAGTGCAGACGTTTGATCATTGATGAAGGTTCATCCTTTACACGACAACTAAGTTGAACGCCAGGGCCACGAAATTGATTTCAGGGCTGGTGTGTAGATAGTTAGATAACAATACAGTGCTTTCAGAGTAGATGGCACAGACCCCATGATGTCCTTTAGATGGGGGTCCATATAAACCACCTCTTGGGGTCTGCGCCATCTATTCTCAATCCACTATAATATAATATATATGTAATATGGTGTGGGTGTGGATCCAGGCTGGTGAACCCAGACCCCCAAATAGCTTGGCTGGCTTGGGTTTGTTGGTTGCTGCTCTTCTTTCTGGTCAACAAGTCAGCCAAATAGCATCTAAGCCCTTCGGATGGGTGGGATGTCGCATGAAACAGCCGTCAGTTTCTTCGAGACGCTGAGAATCCAATAGTTCCAATGGGTACACTATTCCACAAATTTGCGATCGACTGATTTGATCCACCTCAGTGGATGTAGGCATTAGAGCTGTCTTACCTGGTAGCAGTTTGACCAATCCAGAGCCAGCAAAGGCTGACCTTTGCTAGGCCAAGGTTCGTGGCTCAGATTCAGAGTTGATGGCCCTGTGCCACGCTGGCCATCGCTCTTTCCCAGTCGCCAGCTTCTTTGTCCTCGGCGGAGACGGTCGGGTGGGGGGAGACCACCCAACCCGGGAGACGCCCCGAGCACCCCGCGTCCCATCCGCGTCGACGCCCTGGGGCCCAGGATTTGCTCCAGCATCCGGCAGTCCGAGGATCTTGACCTACAGAGGTGCAGAGAGATTCAGTCGTCCTTCGGATGGGGAGGGGGGTTTCAGAAGTTGAATGCTATACTGGAAGTCTGGTTGAAAGGAACACGCGGATTCGGAGACATCTTTGAACAAGGACTGAAAAGAGGAACTCCGGAATCACCACCTGAGAGAGGTTCCTTTGAGGGGGCACCTAGTGTCGGACTTCAGGCATCAGTTTGAATGACTTGAACACTATAGAACTGGGGCGTCACAGGTGAGCGGGGCGTCGTGTTGGGGGGATCTTCGGAAGGTTCCAACACACTTTCCCCACCAAATGCATGCGGGAAACCAGGTGTCACCATCTCCTTTGGCGACCGTTGGTTCTTCCACCCAACAAGCGGTTGGATATGGTTGGACTGGGATTGGTACCCAGATGGAAGTCGACACGGCGGATCGTGCGAGGGAGCTGGCACCTGGCGACGGGATCCTGCTGTGCAAGAGCGGCCAAGATCCCAGACGTGGGGGCGCAGTGGGCCCCTAAGCTTGCGAAATCCAGCGACGAGCTCTTTGCAAGATGTAAAGACCAAACGCAAAGAGTCAAACGTGTGAGAAGTCCATGTCAAAAGGGTCATGGAAACGAAATCCCACAGCTACGACCGTCGACTTTTGTTTTTAAAACTTGTCGACGTTTCGAGACTTTTAAATTTTTGAGACTTTTGGACTCTTCGATTTGTGTGCTGGTCCCACTTCTCCCACTGACCGAATTAAGAAAAGAAAGGTTCGTCAAAGAGAAGAGGTTCGGCTCCTTTGACATCACCTCAAAGGTCCACCTGTGAATATCTCTTCCATATCTCTTCCATTGCAACAAAATCTGCAACTTCCACTGCGCCGTGTACCTTTCATATGTTCACGTCCGGATCGGAAGGGGACCGTTGAAGATCGTCACGGAGACGTGTCCAGAGGATCCCAGCGAATCGGTCTGGATCGGTCTGGAGCAGAGAAACATCGGAGTGGTTACACCGGCCACGTTCTGGATCGCCCGGTTGGGCTCGGGGACGCAGACGAACCCCTGGCAAAGATAGGTAGCCAGTGGAGCAACCAGGGCAGATGTGACAAAAGATGTGGTCAAGAACGCAAGCTACCCCACTGGCTAGCTAAGAATTCTTGGATTGTAGGTAACTAGGTAACTATCTTTTCGGCAATCTATCCAAGGATCACCTCACCGTCGGTCCTGACGATGGGCAGAACCCCAGCCATGGTGAAAATCTAGCCAATGGGGCCATTGAACTGCCAGAGGGTTGACCAGTTGACCAGTCACTCTCGCTTGAATCGACCTGTCAGCACGACCCTGTCCGGAGAAAACAGGAGACTCGACGGTCGAAACGAGTCGAAAGCGGTCCGTCCAACGCGGCGCCAGTTTGGGGACCTGGTAATCGTTGGTTCGAAGGGGAGCTGTGGTGGATCAACACATGGAGGACCCAGTGGGACTCCTTGATGAATCACCCCCCCACATGAGGAGGTTATTGAATTAGTGATTCATCAAGATCACCTGACACTCCTCGGCGGGAGTCGAAGGCCGGATTCGATGTCCAAGGATATGGGAGGGTTGAAGCGGTGAACTTCACATTTGGCCGTTGCGAGTTGGTCTTGAACGTGGGTGCGAAGCAAACCGTGCAGGCATGGACTTGGGTGAGAAAAGGGTGGGGGAGTGGCCGGGAGTGGTGGGGTTCTTTGGTCTGTAGGTCAAGGCCGGCGCCACTCGTCTGTCGCTCATCATGCTCATCCAATCCTCCCTTCCTCTCCGGCTTCGCTGCTCTTCCTGGCTGGCTTGCAGGAAGAGCAGGAAAGAGGTTCATAGACAACCCAAGAAGATTGAAGCCAGACTCTCGCAGTAATGTAGGCTCTTGATTCATCACCCCCCCCTTCGGATGGCAACCATCTCTTCATTTGGTTTGTTTTCCTTTTGTTTTGCGGTGTCGCCGGGGGCCCGAGCACCCGGCCCACCTGGGCCTGGAGTCACAGTCATCAAGCTGCTTTTGATCTCCCTTCTTTAGATCATCAAGTCAATCCCATGGATCAAGGCTGATCAAGGCAATCCCCTTTAAATGGGTCTGTCATGAACACCAAGCATGCTGAAATGGACTGATTTGTCTTTGATCTCCCTTCTTTAGATACAGGATTGATCACCATCACCATCAGAGCCTTGCAACACCACCAGGGACACCAGCGCCCTCCCACTCCGATTGTAACTCTTTTCGATCACCCCACCTTCACTCATCTCCCAAAAAGACCGCCCCCGTTGATGGGTAACTCATCTAGCTCTGGGTCCAAACCTGGAGCCCTAAACGCTGGTAGGTGGACCTCCCTGGTCGTCCATTTCTCGGTGTGTGATCCACCGGTCGGTTGCCGCGCCGATAAATACCCCACACCACAGCCATCTCCGGCCTCATGCCCGGAGCCTTTCGCTTTCCCAGGAGCTGAGCCAAATGCGGGCCTTAGACCTGTACAGCTCCGTGAACCTCATCGCCTTCGAGCGGCAGCTCGAGGCGCTGGAGCGCGTGAGTAGCAAGGGTAGCAAGGACAAGAAACGCTACCCCCTCTGGGAACCTTGGACGAATCAAACCGATCTGCAGGGGTGTGCGCAGGTGCGTGTGGATGAGGATGTGTGAGGTGTAGTGTGGGGCGTGGCTGGTGGCTGGCGCGAATGTGGCAGCAAGATGGACGCCCTTCAGGCTCGTCCCCACCCCACTTGAAGGTTCATCACTCTCCTTGGGACAGGTCGTGCCCCATTCGGCCGAGCCTAGGACCTCCTGCCGATGAGCGGCGTGGGTGGGGATATTTTGGATAGCTGGGCCGCCCGCATGCGCAGTGCGGTGCAGAAGGAACGCGGCACCAAGACAGACATAGCGCAGATGGAGGCGAGGGCGGTGACATATATTTTTTGTCACATTTTGTCTATTGTTTTTGTAGGGATGGCAAGGATGGCGAGATCTTGCAGTGTTGGTCAGCTTGTCCTCCTTTTCTGTGGTCAAGGCAGTCAAGACACGACATTTTTCCAGATCGCCAATCGGTTTGGTGTCGTGGAGAGGGTGCCCATTGACTCACCTGCGCAGCGTGATCCGAACAGGTACACCCCATCAAGGAAGTCCCGTGTTCAAAGTGAGGACATGTCAAGAGGTGAGGAGGAACTAAGAGTGGTGTCTTTTTTGGGGGTAGAGATGGTTTTAGCAACAAGAACAGCAACAACAACACCAACAACCAACAACCAACAACCAACAACAACAACAACAACAACAACAAAAATAAATACAACCACCAACCACCAACCAACCACCACAACAACAACAGCAACAACAACAACTGCACGGCCCTGCGAAAGGAACCCGACTCACCTTTGCAAGGGTGGAAGGATGCGGTGGCGTGTTGTTTGCCACCCTTGTTCATGCAACAGCGCCATGCAAACTCGGAGAACATGGGGCAGAACATGGGCCGATTTCAGAACAACCACCATCACTGTCCTCGGACATGTCGCCGGCTGCGCGTACCACAGACACGTTTCACGTCGCTCCGAGTCCGTCGCCTTGATTCCAGCTTTCACCCCATGGTCATACTCATGCTCCCTGAGACAACCCCCTTAGTGCGCTTAGTGTCATACTGCCTTAGCATATATACTCATACCCAATTGACATACTCCCCGAGTGTCGGGCATGTAAGTGCGGTTGGCTTGGGCTCCACCGCTTCCGCACGGGGAGTGAAGAAGTGTGAGGCGTGTCCTAAGAAGTCTCCTACCAAAGCAAGGTCTTCCGGTTGGGAATGTGTGAGAGAGCTTGATCCAATGCATCAAAGCATTGACTCCGGCACATTTGCACTCCTGAGTATGCGGGGTTGGCAGGCAGCAAGAGGTCGGCGTGATGACGTGCAAGAGGGCGTGATGACCCAAACGCCCATCAATGATGGATTTAAAAGAGATATCATCAGCATTGCAAAACGACAAAACCGTGCGGTAGCACCAGTAGCATTATATGGTGTACCGCCGCATGAGATGGCATGCCAATGGTTCTTGGTCCACTCTTTCGTTTGTTGCCATCTTGCAGAACAACTGAGCCGTTGGCAGTTGCAGCCACAAAAGGAGATCCTCCAATTTCTGTTTGGATAGCCCCGAGGAGCTCCAGAAACCACATGGTGGCTCCGATTCCAGACGGGTCCGCTGAACAATGCCCGAGGCTGAGGCTGCTCGAACTCAGCCTTGCTTGCAAACCATGTTGCCGGGTAGCCATTCGTAGGGTTGGACGGAGGTTCGCCTGGAAGGTGGCATGTTTTTTTCTCAGGAAGGACCAGGCTCTCGCGATTCTGTGTGTGCCCATGGGCGGCACGTGTTGTTCGCTTCGTTGGCGATGCGAAATGGTGCCTTACTTCCGGCCCTGTGTCTGTGTGCCTCGAAAGGCCTTGTGAAAGATTCACCGGCCCAATCAAAGGAGCCTTGTTGACCCGTCAAATGCACCCAGTGTGCACCCAGACTGTCTGGCCAGTCTCCAACGCTCACCCAGACCGACCCATGGACTTGAGATCATTAAACTCCATCGTCGTTGGCACATGGACTTGGGACCATGTTCCAGTCAACTACTACTACTACTACTACTGCTACTACTACTTCTTCTTCTACTTCTGCCACTGCCGCCACCACCACCACAACCACAACCACAACCACAACCCACAACCACAACCCACAACCCACAACCACGACGACGACGCTGGCGACGACGACTACACCAACACGGGGGGAGGGATTGGGGGCCAACCAGCCAACGGCTGCAAAGACCGGACATTTTGGTCCGCTTCGTCTCTTGTTGACTCGTGCCGGCGGAGGAGCTGGTCGTGCCAGCCACGGAGGTGAGCGCTGGTGTGGAACGCTTACAACAGCTGGCGGAAGCGAGCCTGGGAGCAGCATACATTTTGACGGTTGACCCCTCAAAGATGACTGTCAGGATGGTTCTTCATCTCCATCTGAAAGGGTGTGGTTGGTCAACCGTCAACAGTTAAAGAATGCTTGTGCTCCAAGTTGGGCAGACATAGACCCCTTCAGGATTTAGCATTTCGACGGTCGATTCTTGTGGGAGGTTTCCACCTTTAGTCGAACTTCCATGATGTAAGGCCTGGCATGAGAAACATCATCTTACCGGGGCCCCAACAAAAAGCCTCGGCTTCATGGCGGGCGTAGCGGCGCCGCATGCATTCCAGCGCAGATATTGTTTTGCACATACCCGAAACTTCCAAGACCATTTAAACAATTGTTGACCAGGTTTTGTGGCCTAAAATCCTTGGAAGACCAGGTTTGTTCGGTGAGAACGATTACATGAATGGCGAATGGCGGTTGGAACCTTTAGGGTGCACACATTTATAATCATCTCTATCTATATGTAACAGCACACCAGGAGTCACAAAGGGGTGGTGTTCAGTCCCTAAGTGAGTAGATGTTCTGGGCACCCATAACCTCCATTAAGCACCCCGTCTTGTGACTCCTGGTGTGTATATAGTTGAATTTGTTATATACATATCACCACATTACTGGACTGGGCTTGCAGAGTGGCTAGGCCACAACCGAGTCGCGGAGCCGATGTCTTCGTCGAGGAACATGACCCAAAACATCCCAAAACTGTGGTTCCCCTAGACCTCCAGGAGGTTTCCTATGGTTTCCTCCTCAGAAGGTATGACTGGACCCTCCTGGCACCCACCCCAGTCCCACCTTCTCAGAAGGTACTTGGCGGTCTAGGGTTCTGAACTGGTGCGTGAATTCCAAAGGATAGATTGGCAACCCAAGACTGGAGAACGATGGGAGCGCTGTTTCTGGAGGACAATGGCTCACCACCACCTGTCCGAGAACGCCGTCTTTCCTGATTTGCTTTCAAGGCAAACCACAGAACCATTGGACAGGTCTTAAGCAGGCTTTCACTGAATGCATGGCCCATCTCAAACCTGGATTAAAACAGGATACAGATCCCGATATCGCCGATATCTTCTTACCCTGAAGCGCTTGCTTGTTCGAAATCCCTGCTGAATTTTCCGTGCTGAGGAGCCCGCAGCTGCCTTCTTTTCAAGGCCGGCTTTTGCTCAAGGACTTCAACGACCTTTTGGAGGGCCAGGCCATGAACCGGCCGGGGCTTTGGGCTGGATGGGCCTGGGCTTTGCCAGGTAGTTCACAGGGTCGCCCGAGACGCTCGCCGGGCGAGCACTGATTCGGCTTTTGGGCTCTCAGGTTCAGAAGAGCCCCAGTGGCCTAGGGTCAAGTGCTCCCAGATAAGCCCTTGGAGCCGGAAAGGGGGAACTTCAAAAAGAGAGGAGCCTTTTTTTCATCTTAATCAAGATGAGAAGCACTTCCCCGCGGCCCACCGAAGCACCGGACCGAACTCCCTACCGACCGGGAGCACCGGGAGCACCCACCGACCGGGGATGCCAGGAGTCTTTGTGCGACCCGGAGATCCAAGAGTCCATCGGTCGCCTCAATGATTCGCAGCAAGACGCGGTGCAGGCGGTTCTTTTCCCTGTCGCATGCGGAGAACTGAGGTTTACTGTCAGTGACCGCCATATTGGGAAATCTCCTGGGTGAGAAGTATCCAAGATAAGAAACCCAAAGAATAGCAAAGAATCATTTCAAACACACAATAGATAGATAGATAGATAGATAGATAGATAGATAGATCGTATCTATATCTATGTCTATATCTATGTCTATATCTATATCTATATCTAACATAATATGTAATATACAATATATATATATATATTGCATTTGCAATAAGGTGTCTAGAAACATGTTTGTATCAGTGATCTGTGACATCTCGGTGATCCACCAGCCCAGCATTGAACCAGTTGCTGGTCCGTTTCGTGCCTTCAGCGGCCCCAGGCTGCGCTGAATCGGCGTGTCACGGTGATCCAGGGGCCGCCAGGCACTGGCAAGACGCACGTCTCCTCCGAGGTCTTGCGGATGTGGGCTTCCATGGGCTTGAGGCCGGAGGGTTTCCCGAGAAAAAGGGGCCAAATCTGGATTGGGGAGGCCAAGAAACAGCCCTTGGAAGGATGCAGCTTGGTGTGTTGCGTTGTTCTGTTTGCGTAGGATGATCGGATCATGGATCCGCAAAGCACACCTTCGTTATTTTTGATTAAGGATTCCATCGCCCTGGGATTCTAAGGGGAACTTGGATTATGGGATTCCTTTTTCTTGTCCCCTGCAGAGCTGAAGGGTTGGCAGGCCAGGCTTCTAGCTGAGGCTGGCCTCGATTCCAATTGTGTGGGCCTCTTGTAGGCTTCGCAGGTATGACACAGTCATGTGGAGAGGGAATGCGTCAGTGGTCTGGCTTTGGCCGAGGCCGGTCTTGGTCACCTCTCACAATAACATTGCAGTGGACAACATCGCCGAGAAGGCCAATGTTCAGTTGAGGGGTCGACGGTTTGGATCCCTCAGCTTCAGAGCTTTGTTGGAGGAAGCAAGTCCGAGTCCGAATCGATGAGAAGGCAGAGCCAGCGCAGTGATGGTGTTTTTCAATGTCACTTCCCGGGGGGGTGTCCAAGATGACAGGCAGCCCAGAATCGTCACCGCTGCCACCCATTCGCCTCATGTGGCCCCCGACACATTCTCTCAAAACTCCTAGGCAGATCGTAGCAGATTGATACTGAAGGGCTTCTTTGGTCCCTATCCTGGCCTTACTACTAGGAGCAAGGACGCTACTAGGGGCTTCTGGCCTTACTAGGAGCAAATAGCTACCAGTAACAAGGGCCTTACCAGGCGTTTGGATCCCTGTGACTCAGTTCGCTCGTGTTCCTTCGGCGTTCACGACCTCGCCCGCCCGCAACACAGCGCTTGAAGAGGCGCTGGCGGCTGGGCTGCGCGTGGTCCGGTTGGCGAAGGCGGACTGGATGAACCCAGTGCTGGATGGGTGCTCGCTGTGGAAGCTGGTGGACGAATCTCGGTCCTCGGTCCTCGACTGGGAGCGGCTCCCGGCAGCGTCGACTGGTGGGTGCGTGGGGGTCTAAGGAAAGGTTTATGCCATGGAGTTCGACAGAAGAAACTATTTAGACCAGCACCTTCAAAGGGGTCACCAATGGAAGGTCCTACACTACCATCCGGGACCTCCATTGGACACCCCTTGAAGGTCCAGGGATACTCACATATACCGTCGACCGACGAGGTCGTGAAGGTGGTCCTTCGGGTCGCCGATCGCCGGCCACGCCGCCGAGATCGATCCGCCGAGGAGCAAGTCCCTCACACAGAGGATCGTCAACAACGGTATTTCGCCCAGAAGCGCATCCTCGACGAAGCCGACGTCATCTGCGTCACAACGATCAGCTCCGCCACACCGATGCTGTCCGGACGGAGGGTGGCGGCGATTCTCATGGATGAGGCAATCTTGTCCTTGGGGAAGGAGGAGGGGAACTACATATCAAGAGACCCTCAACCAGCCATTCTTGGGCATTCCTGGCACCGGGGCTTGGCAAGAAACGACGTATAGAGATATCTGGAACCGTGCGGGATGAGGAGGGGCATCGTGCGGTGCCACCTGTTCACCACCCGAGGTCCCTGCCAAGAGGTCCCGAGCGAATTTGGGCGAACGTCACTGGCGCCTCGGTGGAGCTCGTGGCTCGTGACAGAGAGCTCCGATCAACGGAGACCAACGGAGATCAACGGCTCCAAAGGGACAGAGTCATGTTTCAGAGCGTTTCTGGACCACCATGGGTCGCAGTTGGCTTTCTTTGGCGCCGCATGTCAACATGCACTCCAAGCGAGCTCACCAGGTTACCGGTTCACCTGGTCCGCCTGGCCGCGCCCGTTTCGGTCGCGCCAGGCGGCCCAGACCACGGAGCTCTCGGCCCTGGTGCCCATCGCCAGCGTGAACGCCGAGCGCTTGGTCCTGGTCGGGGATCATTGCCAGCGACTGGGCGGCGCAGCGGCGCATAGCGTTTTTTTTTTCCTTCTTCGCGACGCAGCGGTGTGTCTCTCCTTGAAGTTCCAAGATTATATTTTGACCGACTGGAAATTCAAGGAAATTCCTTTTCGGGTCACCTAGTCGGACCATTCTTTTCATAGTCTTTGACTCCCAGGGTCTCTGTAATATGTGTGTTTTCTGTGTTAGTTTCTGTGTTTTTTGGTTCCCATTTGTTGGCACCTTGGTTCCGCCAGCACTCTTGAGATCTCAGGGTGATTTTAAACATGTCCTCCCCGGCTTTTTAAACACCATCACGCTTCTTCACGTCGTACCGACGGGATCCCTTTTCAAACCCGGGAGCGTCTCGGGTCCCGCTCATCCACGGCACAGGCTACCGGCCAACAGCTTATCCTTGGACTCTTGGGCCAGCAAACACGCGGACGTCCTACGATTCTTTTAGCATGTATGCGCTGGCGCCCCTCCCTTCTACTAGATTCTATGGCCTTGGGAGATTTGGATGATCAATGGTGGTCATGTATGAAACGACGGTGAAGAATCACTTGACCCCGTTATATACACAAGAGTCTACCTTTTTGCAGATACAGAGTGGACCTAGTCACCTAGTCATCATGCATATATAGAAAATTCAGTTGGTAGATAGAAGGCTGCATTTTCCTTTCGCCAGCTGTGTTTTCTATGCCTGCACGTCCGGTCACGCGCGGCTCGTGTGCCAAGGAGGCGGAGATGCGTGGACTGACTTTGTCCCTCTTCCAGCGTTGGGTCTCGCGAGGGTTGCCCTCCTTCTTCCTGGACACCCAGCGCTTTGGCATGTGTGACTGTCCAGCGAAACAGTGCACAAACCTGTTAAGTTAGAATATAGTTTGGAAGATCAAGAGCTCCCTCTTTGAGACCTTGCAATGGGTGATGTTGCAACAACATCTCAGTGTGTTGGATTTGGTGCTTTGAACCGGGGCGGGCTCGTGGGTTTGATGATGCCAGCCGGAAACCAGGAAGCTGACGAAAGACCAGAAACACCTTCAAACAGGGAGAGTTTGAGTTTTGAAATCTGGTTGTGGGGAACTATCTGAAATCTTGGTGTTAAGCACCTGGAGGAAGCCACCGGGGATTCTTGGGGCCCCGGCTGAACAGCTTGGATGCCACCCATCCCACCCATCCCATGAACACCATTTGCCTAGGGCCATTCTTCAAGCCTAGCTGCCTAGCTGCCTAGCTGGCCCCCTTACTCCCTCACTCTTCACTCGGCGCAGCTCGCCCGGCCCTGAGGTTCCGGATGCACCCCTGCATTGCAGAGCACAGCAGCATCCAATTCTATGGCGTCCCGATGGCATGCGGAGACATTCTTCACAAATGGCTGTTATTCCGAGAGATTCGATGGGCAGGGGCACGATGTTTTTAGATTGGGAACCTTCCCAGCAAACAGTTGATCTCATTAATCGCTTCAGTTTCCTTTAGAATACAAATAGTATCACTAGCAATAGATGAACATGAACACAAATCAAACTCAGCAAGATCTAAATAGTGCAAAAAAAAAAGAACAGAAAGAACTCAAGAATGGAATGATCAATTTGGTGATGATTGTGTGCTTAGACAATACGAGTTTAAACAAGACAATTTTACAAAAGTGAATCGTATGTCCATTGTTAATCACAAACATGTAACATGCATGCTTAAATGCAAAGTTTAAACGTGACTCATTACGAACAACATCAGTTCTTCTGGCTTTTGTCGGGGGTTTTCAGCATTTGATCCATTTGGTGGCAGGTCAGAAGTTCGCACTAAACCCTACAAAAAGAGCTCCAAAACCGCCGCGAGTCGTTTGGGGTCAAGTCACTTGAGCTTGCCGTGCCCAGGAGGCAAGCTCCTGAGTGGCGTGTTGCCTGAACACCGTCTCCCACCCAAGGGCTTTGCCTGGCCGCGGGAGCAGGAGGGAGAGGGTGTGGCGCTGCTTGACACGTCCAGGCGGGCCTCGTTGACATCGTCAGACGTGGTCAGGTTTTCGAGGGAATAGGAGAGTATATTTTGAAGAGAAGCCTATAGTTATCTATAGTTACCTATAGTTACTAGAATGGTTTTACATGGCCCCATATGAGTGATCATTTATACATCAATCGTAGACACGATACGATGATTCATGTTCCAGGCCCCGTCACGTCCATCGTAGTATCGTGTCTACGTCTCGGAGTTTGAGACTGGTAGGAGTTCATAGGAGTTCTACTTGGTTCAGGTATGATATGTCAGAGTGTGTCGGAGTCCATCGTGCCCGGCTGTGCAGGTGCAAAAACGCACAACTGCAGCTGCACCCTTCTTTGCTAGCTGCTGACATCTCTTTGAACGTGATTTTCACCTCTTCTGGGGAGCAGTGATTCATGTCTTCTGTTTTCTTCGCAGGTTGCAGGAACGCTTCGAGATGCCGGAGAGAGCCTCCTGGTGCAACCCGCGGGAGGCAGGACGAAACTTAGGGGTCCGACTGTAGGACCCCTACCAGGAAGGTGGCTGTGGGTCAATGCCTGGTGACCTCATTGGACCTCCCTATTTCATCGTCTGTTCTGTTCATTTTCGGTGGGAAGGTTTGCGTTCCCCGGTGGTGCAGCCATATGGCGTGGAGTGTTCAGATGCAGTGCCCCGCCAAAAAAGAGGCCCCATAGCGTCGAGCTTGGACGGTCGAACTCGGGCGGCGACCCCTCACTAGGGTTCGGCTTGGACCTGAGCCATCCCCAGAATCAGCTTTAAGTCTTCCTTTGGATGCAATCTCTTGCATCTTGTCAGGGCTCTCAACATGATCAGAAGTGGACCAAAACTCCTCACCACACCACACCGATCCGCGCTCCACCTTGCAGGCGCGGATCCTGTGCACGGTTTTGCGTGGCATTTTGAAGGCTGGCGAGCTGAGCCCTGCGCAGATCGGGGTGGTGACGCCCTACATGGGCGCCTCGGCCGGACCCAGCGGAGCGGCAGCAGCGGACGCGGAGCAGGTGGTGTGGCCCAGGTGGTGCCGGAAGGTCTGCCGCACACTCCACCTTCCGAAGGAGAGTCCATTGATGAGGGAATCCAGCAGGTGAATTCGTGTGTTTATGGGTTCCCGGTTTTTGCCAGCCATGAGATCAAGGGCAGGGTAGATGAAGGAGAAGCATTTGGTCTGAGGTAACTGACGACAACTCAAGTGCCCTGAAACGTAGGTTCTTCTCTGGCCGATGGCCGAGGAGCCTATCTAAGGTCTCAATCCCGGTCTGCCTGCCGGAGTGGAAGATCCAAAAGACATAGTACTTGTTTGGGCAGACTTTAGTATCCTCATGTATCCTCATTCAATTCCGGTCTTGCTAGTCCATGGAATACGCCTAACTCACTCAGACCCATACCATGAACGAAAAATCAGTAGGACTTGGACCACCTGGGTCAGGGTCCTTCAAGACCACCTGGGTCCTTCAAGACCACCTGGACCCAAGTGGGCTGTCCGGCCTCACGTCGACCATGTGCGGCAGCGCTATAGCTGCTCGGCTTCCCGCTATGCTCGGCAGCTCCATGGAGTGAAGAAGGGCGTCCTCATTGGTTGGAGGAAAACTCATAGTGCAGATGGCGAAACACTTTTTTTCCTCCATCTTGCCCCCCAAAACATCCCCCAAAAACCATGAACTTTCCAAGTTTGTAGACCATCTTTTCCATGACTGGCACCCGGTGACCGCCAGGGTTCTGTGCACTTTGGTCTATTGATCCATCCCCCAAATCTTCGTCCTCCATGGTGGTTTTCTCACCGGTCACCCAACACAGCGAGGCCAAGTGCGTGAGCTTCGGCGGACGCTGCAGCAGTTCTTCGGCCAGACGAGGGCCCGGGAGCTGCTGGTGGCGTCGGTGGACTCCTACCAAGGCCGAGAGAAGGACGGAAGGCGGAAGGCCGTGGGCCGGCGATATACCTTTTTTTTATCCAATTTTTCTAGGGGACGACGACATTGCAGGGGCGGATGTGTTCCAAGGAGCTGCTGCTGCCCCTCTGAGCTCCTTCCGATGTTCGGTGTGGCAGGTGGTGCCCTCCTCACCGCGACGCGACGAGCATTTCGGATCTCAAACCCGCCCTTCGACCTTCCACGCGGCACTCCGCCAGGAGTTGATCTTGTTTAGCGCGGTGCGCAGCAACTCCGCGAAGAGGGTGGGCTTCCTCGCTGACTGGCGGCGGCTGAACGTGATGATCACACGTGCCAGGCGAGATCCGCGGTTTTTTCGTGGCGCGGGGCGGAGGACGATGGCCACGTTGGGCTGGGCGACTTGGCGCCTGGAGGGTCTCCAAATCACCATGGGCAGAGAATTTGCATTTTTATTCTTTAGCATCTATGTTGATGTTGGTGTTTAGAATCTGCCTAATAGGTTCTAAACCACTTCTTGGAACATCACCAAATTTGTAATTCCATTTTGTCCCAAGAAGTGGTTTGGTGATGTGAGTGCTGTTCTTGTTTTGTGCAGTTCGCGGGGCTGTGGAGTGGTAAGGAATATATAACCATAGAGAGACATGTCGGTGGGTCGAGTCCTTCCGCCACCTGCAGTTAATACTACCCTCATCACATCTGAGAGCCCTTTCCGCAAATGTGTAGGAATGGTCCCACAAACGCAGTGGCCGGGTCCCCAATCCTTTGTCCTTTTGGAACCACCTTGGGGGACTCAACGGCGGTCAGGCGCGGCCTGGTCATCGTCGGGGACACCCGGACCTTGTGCCACGACCCGGCGTGGGCGAAGTACGTCCGCTGGGCCAAGCGCTCGGGATACCTCCGAGCCGTGGTGGAAGCCGATCGGAATCGCTGGGAAGAGGCCGGGCTCAAAGTGCCCAGATGACAAAAAGGAGCCGAAGATAGCGCCGAAGCAGCTCAGGTTGATGGACAGGCTCCATGGTTTTCTCGTATGTGGGTAGCTGTTCGCTTGCGCACTTTTAACCTCATGCGATGTGTCGCACATTTGTACGCCTGGCTTCGCAGTTCTGGGCTCGGCACAACAGAAGTTGAACTGGTGGCCAACACTGAGGCAAAACATGAGAAGAGCTTGTATCCCGATCATTACCCAGAACCCTCTCAGTGCCATTTTATCTCCGCCTTCGACACACATGGGCGCCACAACCAGCGCTGCGCTGCCCGACGATGCTGCCTGCGAAGACGTGCTGCGGATGTTCATCGCAGAGGACCTGGAGCGCGCGGAGCGGCTGCTGCGCAGGGCAGAGGAGCAGCTTGGAGTTGTATGGTGAGGAATTTGGAAGAGAAAAGAACTTGGGTGAAGGCATCACATTGACCATTTAGACCTTTTGAATGTTGGGAAGTAATTAGAAATGGTGGATCGACTTGCCTGTAGCCTCACTGCTTTGGTGGGTTTGGGGTTTGCTTTGCTCCTCTAGTTTCTTCAGTGCAGCGAAAGTGGATGTCTTAAAAGCAGGACGCCCCCGAGAAAGTAGTAGTAGTCGTGCCCCCCCCCCACCTCGAACTAGGAAAAGTAGTAGTAGTCGTTGCCCCCTCCCCCCCCTCGTCGAATTCTTCTTACAGGTCAGAAAGAAGGATCCTGTGCTACGAGGGCCTTAAAGAAGGATTCCTGCGCTACGAGGACCTTCAAGAAGGATCCTGTGCTACGAGGGCCTTCAAGAAGGATCCTGTGCCACGAGGAAGTAGTAGTAGTAGTAGTAGTAGTAGTAGTAGTAGCAGGAGTAGTCTCGTCCCCTCCCCCCCTCGAACTGGGAAAAGTAGTAGTAGTCGTGACCACCCCTCCCCCCCGGGTCCAAAAAACAACAGCGGGGCCGCAGTTTTTGTTTCTAGGATGTGGTAGAGGTTCTAAGTAGAAGTTTTACAGAGGCTTAGCTGACCGGACTACTAGTACTACTGCTGCTACTATTGCTACTACTCCTACTACTATTACTTCTGCTAGTTTTACTACTACTACTACTACCACTACTACTACTACCACCACCACCACTACTACTAGCACTGCCACTACCACTACCACTACCACTACGACTACGACTACTAGTACTACTACTACCACTACTAACTACGACTACTACTACGACGACGACGACTACGACGACGACGACGACTACTACTACTACTGCGTGCCAGAAAAGAGGTACAGGGTTGGCATCCTCCAATGCAAAATAGTCTAGATTCAAAAGCATGGGCTGGGTGCCATCAATTTTATTGGATCAGATTGGGGTTGATTTTGAGGTTGGCCCTACAACTCTTTTTTTGCACGTAGGTTGGATGCTGCTCATTTATATTAAACTGCTAGAGATTTCAGTATTTTCTTATTTTCCTCTTTTGCTTGGGAGCCTTTTGGATATTGAATCCTTAGCAAATCTATTGGCTCCCTTTTTTTTATGTCACCGCAAGTGTGCTTTTGGTAGTGTGCCTTTTGTTTGTGTTGCTGGGTGTGTTTGCTAAAGTGGTGGTAGCTAAGGGTGGAGACATGAAGATAAAGTCAAAGGCATTGCAGCCTAAATAGTTTAAATCTGCTTCCAGGGTTGGCTCCCATCACTTTTATTTCACCCAAAGTGTGCTTTGGTAGTGTGCTGTTTGTTTTGTCTTGATAGGTGTGTGCTACTGTGGTGTTAGCTAAGGGTGGAGACATGAAGATGAAATCAAAGGCATTGCAGCCTCGATAGTTTAAATCTGATTCTGTGGTTGGCTCCCATCACTTTTATTTCACCGCAAGTGTGCTTTTGGTAGTGTGCTTTTTGTTTTGTCTTGCTAGGTGTGTGCTACTGTGGTGTGTGCTACTGCTGTGTCTTGCCGTTCTCAGATTGCCTCATCCCAAAGGGATACAGTATCCAGGCAGGTTGACGGAAAAGAGTGCCGCAGATTGCTCAAGAGGCCCTGCTACAACTCGTTGACCAGGATGAACCTCCCTTGGTTGGAAGGATCACTAGTTCAGGTAGCCAACCTTCAGAGCATCAGTAGTTCAGGAGCCAACCTCAAAGGCTGCTAGGAAACCTTGAAGGACAGGCTTTTCCCCCTGCACCAAGCCTACCTACCAACGTTGGCTAGATCCAAATTATTTCTACTCAGGGGCGGGCTAACCCAAATATCCAGTGTGGCCAGCCCCAGTGTGGCCAGCCCTCTCTGGGAGCTACAGCCGGGGATACTAGTACCACTAGTACTAGCACTAGTACAAGCAGTATCACTGGTAAAAGTAAATGTTGGCTGGTTGTTTTCGGGGGGGTCAAAAACAGCGACGGGGCTGATTTTGTTTCCACCCCCTTGTAGAGACAAAGGAACAAGATATGTTGTAACGGGGCTGCAGTTTTTGCTTGCACCTTGTTGTTGTTGTTGTGGTGGTGGTGGTGGTGGTGGTAGAAACAAAAACAGCATACCCGTCGAGTAATCCATACGAAAATCAGGGACCCCAGCCACACTGAATATAACAACTTATTTTCTGTAAACCACGTACGTCCAGGACTTCATAACGAGCGTGAGGGTTTATCCGGAATTCCCAAAAAGGGTCCAGAATTTCAGGAAGGTAAGTTAAATCAGGATGCGACTGACTTGAAAGACCACATGTTAGGTCAGACGCAGGATTCTATAAATGGATGTTGTTTTTCCAGTTGGAGGTCTTTGAGGGTCAAGGTAGGATTATATTATGTGTCCTTGTGGGTGGAAAGAGTTGGGCTGCAGCATGCCACAGACACGAGAATGTCTCACTTCACCAAAACCTAATACGCTACACAAACTCTGCAGGTCTATTCCCTTAATGGAAGTTACACCTGGCATGACCGATTAGCGCATCAAAACTCGACAATATCCTCAATTCGCCTGTCTCAGAGATTCGTCCAGTACAGACGGTTCACCACAGACGATCGAAAGACCCGCAAAGGAAAACATAGAGCTCTTTTTTGCACAGAAAAACATGATCCAGGATCAATGACAGCATTTCATTATGAATCATAATTTGCTTTATAGACATGCCCCGACCTCAGTCCCAGGACTTTAGAAACACCTTGGTCCCAGGACTTTATAAAGCTAAAAAAACTATTTTTTTTGGCACCGTGCCTTGGGCCACTAAAAAAATAAGGACATGACCTCAGTCCCGAAGGACTTTATTGACTAAAATCCTGAGTGTGACCTTCTGGCATTCTTCAACGGGTTCAACAGCCGCCCAACATCGCCTTTCAGAATTATTGTTAACTTTGGAACTTCAAGGGGGCAAGGTTAGGGATACGGTGGAAGGTTTGAGCGAATGTTGGTTTCGTAAGTAGGTGAACTTGTTGGACTTGTTTCTCTGAAGTCTGGGCTGTAGAGACAACAACACCTTTTGAGGCCCAAAAAACAACAGCGGGGCTGCAATTTTGTTCCCCTTTTTTTCCTGCTGCTGTTGGTGTTGTTGTTGGAGCAGCAGTAGTAGTAGTCGTCGTCGTGGTGGTTGTTGTTGTTGGTGGTGGTGGTGTTGTTGTTGGTGTTGTGGTTGTGGAGGCCCATAAAAGACAAGGCCTTAGCCTCACGCTTGGTAGCCTCACGCCGCCCTCGCCACACCCTTTGCCCATGTTGTTCTGCGCGCAATTGCGGTCGGGACGGAACCTTTGTAGGGTCAGCGGCTTAGGCCTTGTCTGAGCCGGATGACCCTACAAAGGTTCCGTCCCGACCGCAATTGCGCGCAGAACAACATGGGCAAAGGCTGTGGCGAGGGGCACGGAATTCTAAGTGGATCGTTTGGGGAACGATCTTCATGGTTTTGTTCTTCGTGGCTGAAACTGTCGTCGAAACTGTCGCAGCACAAAGTGCCAGAAAGTCGGAACGACAAAATCGTCTTGAAAAATGCCATTGTCCATGGGTTTCGGTTTGGAATGGGCTGCCTGAGACCAGACGAATGGAGTGTTTGTTTCCACCATTTCTTTTTTCCCACCCCGGCGGCTCTGTTGTTCCACGTGTGTGGACCATGAGGCTGGTGGCGCAGGCGCGGAAATCGCAGCGAGTTTGGACCATCATCGGCCTCGATGGCACAACCTTTCAGCTCCCAGTGGATGAGATGGCGAACGTGGCTACGACGGCAAAAAATTCACAAAAAAATGAAGGATTTCCCTTTGCCAGATGGATTTCGGGATGTGGATTCTACCTCCTCGCCAGGCCTCCCCGTACTTGGCAAGTTTCCAAGAGATCAAGAGACTCCTATGTCCAACAGATTCCAACAGTATACCTTGCAGGGGTGGCGGCACTCACACTTCTCCAGCCCTACAGGTTTACTAGGATCGGATCAAGGTAGCAACAACCATCGGCTTGCCTCAAATAGTTTCAGTAGACTGGGATTTGACACATAATTTCCACTCATTTTGGCTAGGTGGACGACCTCTCCAAGACGATCGCAAAAAGAATCGGCATGAGAGCTGGTGGAAAGCTTGTTCTTTTTGCAGGCGGCCAAATTTTGGAGGACTCATCCAAGTTTTTGCAGCAAGAAGGGTGCGGACGAGAAATTTCATATGTCGTTCAACAGGTTTGTGCACTGGAGGCAGCGATTGGGTTCCACAAGGCCCTTACAGGGAGGACTAGAGATCACATGCATGCGACAGTGACGGATGCAATCGCGTCTTTGACCTTCGGCTGGGATTTCAACCAGAGCTTGAAAGGTGTGACCTTGCCAAGCAGCTTGCAGACTTTGACCTTTGGCAGCCGGTTCAACCAGAGCTTGGAAGGTGTCACCTTGCCAAGCAGCCTGCAGACTTT